TGGGATTTTGACTACAATGTGTGTGTTAGTTACTTTTCTCTCATTGCTGAGACAAAATACCTAAAACCCAAGTTAAAGAGGGAAAGGTATTTTTGGCTTACAGTTCATAGAAGTTTTAGTCTATAATCAGCTGGATCCAGGGCAGGGTGGCAGAGGGCAACAGTTATGGCAGTGGAAGACAGCAAAAGCAACAAGGGAAGGGGGAGAGGTCCTCAACAACATCTTTCTGGCCCTTTTATGCAGGTTACTTAGGGTGAGTAGCACTCACACCCTTGATCCTAGCACCCTTGACCCAATCATTGCACCATAAATCAATTCCAGAAAAAGCCCCACCCATGACTGCATGAGGCTTTGGGTGGACATCAAGACACAATGTTATGGCTTGTATCTAGATGTCCCCCAAAGCCTTATCATCTTTTCAGAGATGGCTGGATCTAGGATGTGGTTCTGGGATTAAGGATGTGTGGTATTAAATTAGTCTTCTTTCTCCTCCTCCTTCTTTTCTTTCTTCTTCTTTTTGGCATTCTACAAGCCTTGCCTACCTGTGTGTGAGTTCTTTCCCCACCTGGAAAATTTTCTGCTATGATTTCTATAACATATTTTGTTCCATGTGTGCTGTCCTGTAATTTTTCCTCTAACTGTAATTAGCCTTATGTTAGTTGTCATAGTTACTTTCCTCATTGCTGAGGCAAAATACGCAACACCCACAAGTTAAAGGAAGAAAGGTTTATTTGGCTCACAGTTTGTAGAGGTTTCAGTTCATAGTTATTTGGTTCTAAGGTAGGGTGGCATGGCAGAGGGGAATCACAGAGGAGAAACAGTCCATGGAAGAGTAGGCAGGAGACAGCAGCAGGTAGCAAGGAGCAAGCAGCAGCAGTCTGCATTCTTCTTTTCCCCTTATATTCCATCCAGGCTATAAGCCTATTGATTGGTGCCACCCACACACCTAGGTGGGGCTTCCTAGCATCTACATTTTAAATTATGCTAACTCCAATTACTGGACTAATTTAATACCACAAACCCTTAATTCCAGTTCTACATCCTAGATCAAGTCAGCTCTGAAAAGACTCACCTATAAGTGCATGAGGCTTGGGGGGGACATATACAAACTATAATATTAATCTTCTTAGTGTGATCTAGTAGCTGTTAGATCAATTTTCTTTACTTTCTTGGAACTGACAAGCAAGGAAACAAAGCCCCACATGGCATGATACCAGGCCAGAGCACCCACATGTGCCCTCCTACTGCAGCTGTGTCTACTTGCAGGCAGCTGAGCCAGTTTTCCCCCTGCCTGGGAGGGGCGAGGGCTGTGGTCTCTCTGCACCCAACTCCTGGCTGCAAGCCATGCTTTAGGTAATTTGGGAAGAGGATGTGAAACAGTTCATCCTACACCAGATTCTCCATTAACTTCCACTGATGACTTCCCCTCCCTGCAGGGTAAATCCCAAGGGTAGTCTTGATATTCTCCCTGCAGGGGCCTTCTTCCCAGGATCACCAGAAAGTTTCTACCCCAGGTGAATCCCTCCATTTTTTCCTGCTCAGATCTTTACTATCTGACTGGAAACCTCTGCTTTCCAGTCCACAGGGTGTGTCCAGTCCCCAGCCACGCAGGAGGAGGGCAGAAGTAGGATTCTCACCAACTCAGATCTTTCTGGTGTTTGGGGAAACAATAGGAAAGCACCCACTCTGGACTGGCTCTACAGAGTGTTCTCCCTCTCCTGTGTCTCCAGGGATGAGATCCACAAACTCCAGCCAACAATCTATGGGTCCCAGCCTCTCTGCCTAGGGCTGGGGGCTTCCCTTGTCTGAGTAGGATGCCTCTGGGACAGTGTTTCCTTGTGTTTGGAAGATTACTGAGGGCAGGAGGAATGGCCTGTTTTTGAGTTGCTATCTCTCCCTTTCTCTAGCTACAGGTCAGGTAGCCGGTTTTCCTCAGGAGCCGGATTTCCTTTTCCAGGTGGGAGGGAGAGAATGTAGGGAGGAATCTGCCCTCTGCAGTGCAGTCTCCTTTCCTCCTGTATACACCTACTTTAAAGTATGTAGTGCATCCATAGAATTATTTTCTTATTACCTGATAGATAGCTTATTCCCAATTTTTCCCTACTATAAAAAACAGAACATGTAAGTGTGATGCGGTGGCACACATCTGTAGTCTCAGCTACTCTGGAGTTGGAGGCGACAGGATCACGTGAACTCACATGTTTAAGAGCAGACTGGGTGACACAGTGAAACTCTAACTCAAAAAACAAAAACAAAACAAAACAAAACAACAACAACAAATATGTGAATGACATATGTAAGAAATTGGACTCGGGAAATAATCAGAAGATTTTTGTCTCAAAATTTTGGCTTTTAAAAAATTTATCTGGGGAAGGAAAGTATTTCCCTGACCCTGAATGAAAACTTGGGCAGTCCCATGACTTTTCTGGTTACAGAGTTGCTTTAAGTCTCATGATCACCATTTAGAAGTGAAAATATTTAGTCCCAAATAAAAAGTCACATTTTAATCTTCACTTAAGGCCAATCCTCTTCCCATGCCCAGGAAGGCCAGTGAGAGGCTGTGGTCAGCTGGCTCTGGCTTCCCTACTCTACTCAGTAGCTACTATTTCTGATCAGGGGAGGGAGGGAGGGAGGGAGGGAGGGAGGAGGAGGAACAGAAAGGAAGTGTGATGGGAAGGTTCTCACCTGGTGCTGTCAAGACATGGGCTCCTTCTGAGAGTGCTGATTTCTCTTGGGCCGGCTGCTGCCCCCAGTGCTCCTTGTCTTCCACAGACAAGTACAGACTTTCTCCGTTGGGTTCTAATACTGCCACCCTTGTGGTCTCCAGTAGCAACCCTTTTAATAAGATCCCACACAGGCTGTTCTACTAGGGAGTCCGTCTCTGGTTCCTGGAATGTACATACCTTTGGTTCACAGCATCTCATCCCACAGGGCACCCTCTCTCCTGCAGCAGTTGCTGATGCTTTCTCAAATGTGAGTTAGGCACCCATGTCTGTGGCCTTCAGCTGCACACCTTGAGCTTTTTAAATGTTTGCTTTGATTCCTCTCTGGAGCTTGAAGTGAAAGGGGCAGCATTCCTCTTACTTTAGTGAGGAAGAGCGATACACAGCACAATTTCTTCCCAAGAATTTCTCTCCCCTAAATCTGTTTCTCCTCACTCTCAACTCTTTCATATCTTCAATGTGAGTCAGGAATTCAGAAGGGTCCTATAGAAGCAATGTTCAACTTTTTAAAGTGTTGCATTTAGACTTAACATCGCCTTTGGAATGCAGCCGTGACTGTATCTTTGTGCCTCAGATGAGGCTTGAGTTTTAATTCCTGTTACAAAAATATTGCGTATGTATTTTTGCGTTCTTGTAGGAGAGTGATTTACTTTAAATGGTTTCCCAGATATGGAATCATAGGCTCAAAGTATGTGGAAAGAGTATTTTTATACTTTACTCATGGTTATTTTCCTTAACCTCCATACTGAAGGAGAATAGCTGTGCTGACTTGGGGGTGAGACAGATTGTTATAAGGAAGTTAGAGCCCTTTTCAGGGCTTATTGGTGGATGTTAGAATTCTTCTATGTTTCTATAATTCACTTATCTGTTTAGAGTCAATAATTTGAAGTTCTTAACACCATATAGTCCTGCTAAGCAATGTGCAAGGCAGGAAGAGTTCTCAAGGGACAAGGCCCATGTTTGTGATGGAAACAGGTGAATCTTTTATGTCAATGATTTATGAATAGCTTATTAACAATAGCTGATATTTATAAAGCTCTGAGCATATGTTACAGTGACATTAATGTATATTAGTGCATTTAGGCCTCATATCAACTCTACAAAAGAGGCACTATTATTGTTATTCCCATTTTACAGATGGAAGGGAGATAGTGCTATTCAAGAACTGATTCATCTAGGAAGTGGCACAGCTGAAAGTTGAGTTCAAGCAGCATGTTTTTGAATTTCTGCTCCATAGTGTATGTCTGTATTAGTTAGGGATCTCTAGAGGATCAGAATCAAAAGAAATATTTTTTTGTATGTATAATTATGGAAGGGTATTTGTTAGACTTATAGAATCAGAGGCAGGAGAATGCACAGTGGCTGTCTGCACACTGAGAGCCAGAGGATCCAGTTGCTGCCCAATCCAAAAGAAGCTGAAAGCTACAGAACAAGAGAGATTAAGGGTGCAGTGCCAGTCTGAGACCAAAGGCCTGGAAGCTCCCTGGAGAGTCACTGGTGTGAGTCTGCATTGAAAGGCTGAAACAGCTGGAGTCTGATGTCCATGGGAAATGGCAGTAGCAAAAGATGAACCTGCTGTAGCAAAATGGACCTTTTCCAATGCAGCCCCACTTCCCCTTTTCCTCCTTTCCATTTCATCTGGGCTGTAAGACTATTGGAGGAAACCACCCACAATCAGGGTGGGTCTTTTTTTCCCTCAGTTTGCCAGCCTACATGCCAATCATCTCTGGACATGTCCTCGAAGACATGCCAGAAGTGTGCTTTACTGATCTGCTAGGCATTCCTTAATCTAGGCAAGTGGAAGATCACAGTCAACTATCACAGTGTCTAACAACTGCATGGAGCTGCTTCTGACACTAAACCAAGCACTCTTTGGTGAGATGTCCTCAGAGACTCAGTTGCTCTCCAACAAAGAACACTGGAAATATTTTCAGGGGCAACAGATGCCACAGACTTGAATATACCGGAAAAAAAAAAAAAAAAAAAGGATTGTAAGCTAGTGAGATGGCTATGGGCTCCACCTTAGTGACACTTTATTTGGTTTTGCTTCTCTCCTCTTTATGGGGAAATGGAATCTCTAGCCCAGTTATGCTTGCTGCCCAACAGAGGTTTAATAGTCACATGACTATGTGACTAAATGAAGGGTACAAATGCTACAGAGCTAATGACTCAAATGCCTACTTTCTGTACTTATGTTTTCTATCTAATTATCTTTAATGATCACAGCAACAGTGAAAGGTAGATATTGCCTCTGTATTATAAATGAGGAAGCTGAAATTTAGAGTAATGAAGGGCTTTATTTTGTCTAAGGCCATACAGTTGGTCAACCACAGGTACAGGTTCCAGACCACTCTCTGTCATGGTTGTCTGCTCACATGATGTCTGCCACTCATGACCTGTGACTATTAAAAGAATAACAGTGTTAGTTTATATATTTCAAGAGTAACAGTGTTAGTTTATATATTTCCTCCTCAAATAGTCCATTTCCAAAACTTAGGTAGTTTAATCTCTTTTAAATTCCTCAAACTCAGACTTGCTATTAAAATATTTCCTTGTGTCTCCAAACTGATTGTTCATATAATTTTCATTAAAATTAAGCCAGAATAATTTTCCTTAATTCAGAACACTATTGGCTTTGTTAGAAAACCACTTACCGGATCTGTCTTACATGATATTTTTTTGAATTAATTGTTTTATTCTGTTATATCCTCGTTCTGAGCACAAGCCCAGCAGCTCTATGAGGAGCCTGAGAAGTTTCTTCCTCATGCCTTCTGATGATGGAGTGGCCCAACCTTCAACACTGAGAAAATAAATACTCAGACCTCGAGTCAGAGGCTCTGAGTCCTCATGCTATCCTGCCCCTTACCAGAGTGGAAAAATATTTTAGCTGCTCTTGACCTTAATTTTCTCCAACAGGAAATGAAGAAATGTGACTAGGTTAGGGAAAGTGTTGGGTGTGCCCAGGGAGGGCACCGCTAATCCCTTCAATATTCCTCCTTTTTTGACTTTCATTGCAGATTTGCATGGAAGTTTCTATGGAACTGGGAGCTGACACCTAAGATGAGAGCTAGTTACTGTTTTTGTAAGTAGGAATTCTCAGCTCTGGTTTCCATCCAGGCCTTTGTGAAAATTTGTGGAGCCTGAAGCAAAAGTACAAGTGCAAGCCACGTGCAGTATGCCTGAGTATTTAAATTATAAAGCAAGGGACTCAGATATGGGTACACTCGTTCACAGCTACACCATTCACAGTAGCTGAAACATGGAAACAACTCAAGTGTCCACCTACAGATGAATGGATAAACATGAGGTGGTATAGGCACATACTGTAACATCATTCAGCTTTAACAAGGAAGGGCATGCTGATACATGTTACAACATGGGTAGGCTCTGAGAACATGATGCTAAGTGAAATAAGCCAGCCACAAAAAGACAAATACTATGTTATTCCACTTAATGAGGTAATTTGAGTGGCCAAATTTATAGAGAAAGTAGAACAGTGGTTGCCAGGGGATATAGGGTGACAGGAATGGGAATTTATTGTTTAATGGATATAGAGTTTTAGTCTTGCAAAATGAAAAAGATGGTGAGGATGGCAAAACTACAGTGAGAATGTAGTTCACCCAATGCCACTGAGTTGTACACTTAAAAACAGTCAAGGTGGAAAATTTATGCTATGAATATTTTGTCACAATTTAAAAAAGTTTAAAAAACTAAAACAGTGCTGGGGATTTAGCTCAGCAGCACAGCGCCTGCCTGGCAAGCGCAAGGTCCTGAGTTTGGTCCCCGGTCAAAAAAAAGAAAAAAAAACTAAACTAAAATACTGTCATCCTCAAAGACCTGCCAACTGAAAATTCTACATTTTGCTAAGCTACTATTAAAGAAAAAATGCCAAAATAAAGATATTTTAATACAAAAAGTTTAAATCAAGCTAATATACTATTAAGTAATGTGTTTTACTCTCCCACCTTGAAAAATATATTGTCATAATAATGTGGAGCTCCAGACTTGAATTTAGGATTTTCCCACTTAGAGTTCAATGTTCGAAATACAGGTTGGAGTTCCGTTTTGGAAGGCAGCAGGATGAGGAGATATAGCCGCTACCATGGTTCACTCTCTTTTCTTCTCATACTAGGCTGCTGCAAGCATGTGGTTACCCCAACCTGCCTCCCAAAGCTCTTCCCTCCCTTGGATGAACAGCTGCTCCTGCCATCTTTTTGGTGATACAGTCAAATCTCAGGATTTGGATCCAGGGACAGTGTACACTTGGAAGGCTTGGGGCTGTTTGGGCAGAATATTCTAGGTTCCTATTCTTGGGGAGGTAATGATGATCGATAGGCCCTGTGAATTCCTCACCCTGGGAGAAAAGGCACAGCCAAAAGAGAGGCCTAAAGCAGACACTTCCTCTTGCCTAACTGTTCTTTCTAGACAGTAGCATCCTTTTCACCTCTAGTCCCTTAGGATCACTTAAAATCTAGTCATTGCCGTATTTATATTTCCGTAGAAATCCAGGGAACAGAGTTCCACAAAGGAGCCAGGGAGCAACAATGTCCCTCCAGCAGAGAAGTCCAGTAAACTGAGGACTAGGAAATGTCCACTGGGATTGGACATTGGAGGTCACTGGTGGCATTAGATAGAACAGACTCATATGCTGAGAATAAAGTGAGAAAAAATGTAGCTTAGGGATTTATGGAGAGAGTTGAAGTTTTAGAGTAACCAACTGCTTAGGAGAATGGGGGAAGTTGCTGATCAAGGTAGTTAAAACAATTATCCATCAGCACAAGGAAAGGCTGTTTGTTGAACTTGAACATTGAGTGGCAAAAATCTACAAGATTATGTGATTTTTTTTTTCTAGAATGAAATAGCCCACATAGTGGGGCAGAAGAGAGGGTGGGAATGACCCATGGTGGAAATTTTGGTGCTTATGTGCAAAGGAGAGGTAGTAGTTAAAGCAGGTGTACAAGGAAGGGAGGTGTGTAGGTAATGCACCAGAGCAGGTGGTGCAGCATGTAGGCTAGGAGGTTGGATAGAGGCAGAAGTGAGCCCAACTAGGGAACGATCCAGTGTCAGCTGGAGAAGTCAAGGAAAAGTAAGTGTAACTGGAGTGTGCATATGAGGGAGCTTGAGGGAAAAGAGACTCCAGAATATTGTACTCAAGATTCCATAAGGAGCCAGAAATGGTGGTGAATGTCTGTAATCCCAGTGCTATGGGAGGCTGAGGCAGGAGAAGCATGAGTTTCAACCCAGCCTGGGCAACTTAGAAACTTAGACAGACTCTGCCTCAAAATATAAAATAAAAAAAGGTTTTGGGATGTAGCTCAGTTGCAAGGCTCTGGCTTCAATCTTTGGTAGTGAATGCACACATGCACACAGAAAAGGAAAGAGTTGTTGTAGTACAGTGTTGTAGCTACAGTGGGATTTGGGGCAAGAAAATCCTAGACAAGGCCACAAGTGATTTAGGTAAAGTGAAGGTGCAGATTAGAGTTGAGGAGACCATGGAAGTTTGATGCAAGTTTGGTTAGATTTTACACACTGGAGTTAAAGGATAACACAGGGCTTGAAGGAAGAGGAAGCCTGATAACATGTTTTTATTTAAGACACAGCCCTGTGGGCATGGTATCAACTCTATTTTTCATTTCTATCACTTAAGGAGCTCTGATTATTTCCTCAGAGACTTGGAAGACTCTGGTACTGAGGTAGAAAAATAATAAGATGGAATCAATGTTGGAGAACTAGGGGAATGCAGACCTGGATTCCAAATTTAAAAAAGAGTCAATAGCTTCCCTTAGGAGAGGGCCAGAGCACAATCCAGTTCCGATTAAGGCCTAACAGGAACAGTGCTACACAAGTAGCTGGACAGAAGTTAATGCCCTTGAAAAAGGGTATCAGAGAACATGGGAAGATGTGGAGAGATCAAGAGTGATCAAAGCAAGGAAAAAGAGTATACATCAGAGTTGAGATCATAGAAATTTGATATGGAGTTTATATTTTACACCTGCTAATTACAGGGTAATAGAGTTTGAAGAAAAGAGGAAATGGGATAAAACCACATAAAAACATTTCCTTATTTAAGACACAAGTTCTCTGGGTGTGCTATTTGAGTTTCATTTGTATCACTTATGGAGGGGACAGAGTACCTTGGGGATGTGGGGAGGAAAATACACAAAGACAGGTATGACTTGACAGGATTATACAGTGCTCCTGCCTGATGTGGTTGCTTGGTTTCACTGCCCAGGACTTGATCAGGCAGGGAAGCCTGGGCTGGCAGCTTCCACACAGACTCAGTATCCTGGGGGTTGGGGATATGGAACCTGAGAAAACTCAGCTTTGTGAGGTTGATTAGTTGGACTGGAATTGGTTGGACTGGTTGATTAGCTAAGGAGAGCTAGAGGAAGGTGATGGAAAGGGAGGTGATTCATGTTTACTAAGGCTCTGTGCTGAGCACTTCATATCCTCACTTAGCTCTCATGGTGATCTTAGATGGGAGGAGCCGTTGTCCTCAGCCTGTAAGTGATGTCAACTTGACTGAGACACAATGCCAATTTCTATATGAAGGCAGCGTTTTCTTCACAAATCCCCAAACTAGACACTGCATAAATAGAAATAAAAAATACAGAATAGTAAAGAGGCAAGTCAATCATCATATGGTCTTCATAGCTGTGTTGGGTTTCTAGATAGTGTTATCTTTTCCAGCCTTTTTTGTTTAATTTTGGCTCAGGGTCTATCTTTTATCATTTGACAGGATTCAAAGTGCTATTTCTAACCTTCACCAGTAAGAATTTTCAAATCACATGCTTTAAAGAGCAATTGACTTTAGATGGCTTCTCTCTGGGGAGGCAGCTCTGATGAATTCTATGAAAATTAGTCTTTGCTGCTGACTACAGGAGCCTGGCAAGACCCCTAGCTCCCCCGCTCCCCAAGTTTCCTATCTCTAAAACAGGGATAATGATACCTGGATTGCTTAACTTATAGGATAGATATGTAGATGAAAGAGCTATAAAATGCTGTGGAGATGGCAACAGGTATTACTGAATCTGGAGAATTCAGAACCAGACCATTTGTTTGAAAACTTTGGGGTCAACTGTGTCTCAGAATGATACCGAGTTTGATTTCAGAAGGAAGAACAATGTCTATATTGTTCAACATCCCTATTGAGGTCTGGAGCAGTGTTCTGTGATCCCACACATGAATATTTATTTCATGAGACATGAGCACTCACATTAAGAGGGCTAGATAAAGATCATGAACAGCCCCATTTTCATTTAGGTTGATGCTCTAGGGTGACTAGTAGCCACCCAAAGATAACAGGTCCTCATCCTTGAAATGTGTAAATGTTCCCTTATAAGGAACAAATGTCTCTGCAGATGTGATTGAATTAAAGAGTTTGGTGTGTGAGATTGTCTAG